AAGGATCAGAAAAAGAAAAGGCCTTGATGCCAGTCTGGTAGAGTTTGAGCCGTCATGATGGATTGAGCAGTGAAATCGCAGTTTGAATGACAAATATTTTTATGCAATATTACAAATATGATATTATTTGTAACCAATCCTCTCCAGCCCTGTATGCTACCTCCTCGACCAGAGTGTCTTTTTAGGCCTGGTAAAGGTTAAAAGAAAAAATACCCATGTTTCCATGCCAGCCCATCCTACTCTGGCATCCTCTACACCTCATTCTCATGCTGCACTGGCACTAGGCCTAGCCAGGTGGCAGTGTGCACATGTCTGGTACTGTCCTCCTTGTTCAACCATCCATCATCCCGTCACAAAATACAAGACTTTCTCTGTGGCGCTTCGTACAATAAAACCCTCGGCCACCCTCCCATCTTTCCATGTTCTCCTCCAGCCCTTCAGGGGTCTGGCTGTCACAGTATGTTTCCTGTTACAACTCTTCTGGTTCCTTCCTCTGCTGTCAGCCCAACACCCCGTTATCTATTCATCTGAAACACGGAGGCTGACACCAGCTGCTGCCTGCTCTGCAGTGGTTCCACTTGAGTCGGAGGGTGGTGGTCAATTTTTGACTAGAGGGGGGTCTGATAGAAATGACAGTTTGAGCTCCATCACATTGTCACATATGACCTGTGATGAAAGCAATAGTTCCTTTGGTTGTTAGTACATGACAAATGGGATTTCTGAGAATGTTTCCATAACAAACTGATAAATTAATTTTCCTTGTAGAATAAAGGGTATTTGCAGCCATGGTGACATTGGCACGGAAATGGGGTTGATGAAGGGGATAAAGTTCCCCCATACTGGCCAGTTAAACACCAGGGCAGGTATTACTTTACCCTTTTAATTCATCTCTGATAAGAAGTTTTGGATGTGTTTAGTTTAGTTTGAGTTAGAAACATATGGTCATTTAAAGGATGAACAAGTGAGGTATCCTTTCTTGACTGTGTTCCTTCACCTCAGCTAAATGTTTGAAGGAGCTGTTAGACACAATTGGCCATAGCAGATTAATGATGCAGAAAAATGTTCTTATCCAACTTGATAATGACTAATGTCTTGTGCTTTCTAATTTTTCGATATTTTGTCCAAAGTAATTCTCAGTGTCCTCTTGTGTACACAGTGCAGTAATTAACCCACCACATACTTTTGCAGGTAAGAAGATTAAATGATAATCAATCATAAACATGTCTATAAACCAGGGATAACATAACAATAGCAAAAACTCAGAAATCTCTCACTAAGCCAAAGTTAGGATATGTTATATTGTAATAATATTCCTTTTCAATACACAAAGGCAGTCTAAAAAAACACCTTGCAGCTCTGATTCTACAGGAGGTAATGGAAAATACTGAAGAAATCCAAGTGAACAAGATACTAAACCTTGAGCATAGTCATAATGTAATAGGCTATTTCATTCAATTCCAAGTGTGCGCGAGGTGTCATGTTCAGTAGGGTTCTTGATTTTTAATAGAGTAGCAAAGCTGGAGAAGCTGTCTGTTCTTGTAAGAATTGTTTACCTCTGAAAATCCCCATTTGAAAAATGTATTACGATGATGTTCTCAATGGTTCTCTACATAAAATGTATGTTGTATAATTTAACAATACCATAGGTTTATGGTCTTTAGTTGTTATTATTCTAATTGTGTTTTAGAAAGTATTTTTTACTCCAAATACTGTGATATCCCTGAGCCTCAGCTTTCTTTTCCAGGGATAAGTCAGGTGTGCAAATCAGATCTGAAGCAACGTTAGAATGCTTTTTTATTGCAACTGCGAAAAATCATGGCACCCCTTGGAAGTCATTAGTTCAGTTATTTCTTACTAAAACACTTGACTTCTGTGTTTAAAGGAATAGATTGAACATTTAATGTAAAAACTATATTAATTCTCTTGCTGAGTTAGATAAAAGGATGGATACCATTTTCATCTATGTGTGGTCAATTTGAAGCTACAGCCAGCTGCCAGTTATCTGCTGTAAATGGTGAAACTGTTGGCTAATTCTGTTCATCAGTGGATTACTAATTAAAATGTGACATCTGGTTGGTTTAGTTTGTCCAAAGCTAAAAACTAACAGGTAGTGGTTTTAGGTGAGTTCATGTATGGGACTATTTATCTCTGGGGGGCGGTGACTTCCTAGTGTCATGTCACACCATGATGTTAGGCAAGAAAATTGGTCCCACACATTACCCGCCGTATAATCACAAGTTGTGGCTTCAAACTTTGTGTTATTACTGGCTTTGAAGTGCATGCTAGTCGTTGTATTTTCCACTCTTTATGTCAGGCTTAGATAACAGGCTGATTGAAGTAGCTTCCTGTTTAGCTTTTAGACATTAGAGTAGCAATTCTCATCTAACTCAGCTAGAAGCTTTTAATGTATATACTGTAATAACTGTGTTTGTCCTTCACTTTTGATAAAAGAAGCAGCTATTTTCTAACACAGTTGCTCAACATGTATACGAATGATTCATGCCCATTTAAGCCTTGGAAGTGCTTCAACTACCAGCACTTTTATTTCCAGAATCCTAGATGCCCAGATTAATTCCTTTCACTTTGATACCTGACGTCTCGCTGAAGAACACATGGGCAGGATGGATGTTTGTCTTTGTCTTTTGCGGCTGATCTACAAGCCTCTTGCAGTGTCTTACTGAGAACTGCACAGGAGTCCAACAAGATACGATTCATGCTTATGGATTTGCTTACATATGGATTACATGAGTATGAATTTGTACATTCACTGGAGCTGCACAGGCTTTAAAATGAAATATTGGTTTTATGCAGATTGCACATGAAGCAATCGAAAAGTGTTAAAAAGGAGAACGTGAGAACTGGCTGCAGAGACTCACGTAGCAACGCAGCATACGAAAAAGCAGCGAGAGGAAAAAGCGACAGATGAGAGGAGAGGACAGAAAGAGCAGTCAGAGGAGAGGACAAGATTACTACCATAGTACATCAGGCTTAGCTTCACATCCTTAATAGTAACCATGGAAATAATTATAGAGCAGACAGACAAACTGTGTTCGAGAGAAAGGGAGGGAGTGAGCGCTACAGAGAAAGGGAGGGAGAGAAGAGATAACGGGAGAGGAAGAGAGAGAAAACCGCGGGGGGTAAAGTAGCAAAAATGTTTGTTGGAATCCCTACAACCATGTTTCTACACACTGGTGATTGGGAACTATTTGAAGATGGCTTGAGCGGTGTGATGGAGTGCAAACCTGCGGAAAGTCAGTTTCACCACCGACTGACAGAAGCTGCAGTGGAGGGAATTATATGGTGGAAACAGGCATTAATAAAGATATCCACCATCTGCACAGAGGTCATTTGACTTTAATCCATATTTATATCTTACAGCAGTAAGGGACTCTGGTGCGGTGAGTACAGCAAGAGTACAGTGACATAATACGACGATGGTTAAAAAAGTTGCTTCAAACCCACAGTTGTCATGGAAACAGATCTAAGATACTCTTTACCCCTCTGGAAGTGCTGATTGCTTATCATTGCTGAAAGCCCAATCAATGGTAATGTTTTATGTTGATGACAGTTACACATTTATACTAAGTCAGATACAGCCCACACACAGATGTATAAATATTTGGGACATTTACATAATTGCATGCATTAGTTGGCTATTATGGATTTCTGAGCCGTATTTATATATTAATGTGGAGCAGCATGTGAGCTCTTGGGAAATTATCCTGGATCATGTAAGGCTTGGGTATAGAAATTAGCATTCTCATTTTTTGTTTTGGATTGGTCATGATTCGGCCGTGGGTGGGTGTGTGTGTGTAACAGCATGCATGGGCAGGTGGTACACTCTGGGCTCTGTGGATATTGTATGGGTAATGACATGCTTGCATGCTTTCCACACGTTTGCCCCTGGCACTGAGCTTCATCATTTGACGTGTGTGCAGTGCACATGTGCGTGACTGTATAAGGTGGTAGGGAAACAGAAAGAGGTGAGAAGCAACGGGGAAAACAAGGAGAGGAAGAATTAGAGAGAGGAGAAAAAGTGACGAGGGTTTCTGGTGGGCTTAAAATCACGTCCCAGTGGGGATGCATCCAACCAAACCCCTCCCAAATGTATCCCTCTCTCTCACACTCTCTCTCTCTCTCTCTCTCTCCTGTTCCTACACACTACTCGAAATACACAGATAGAGGGAGAGGGGAGAGAGCGAAAGAGAGAGCTTGAAGCGCAGGGCATCACTGCGCCGCTGCTCCTCGCTACACTGTAGTCTCTGTCCACCTGCACAGGATTATCTCGTCCAGGCAGCAGACAGGAGACACTGACATCCACAGCTGCCAGGTGGATTACTTGACGATAAACCTCCGTTTGGTGGGAAGGAGGACGGACTAAGTTGCCATTATCATCTCGTTTTTTTCTAAGTACTGCCTGACAGCTACTGGCACAGAGTATCCGTTTTTATCCATTTTTAGAATACTTTACTCTGTGGTGATTGCTTGTTTCTTCACCACTCCAACGACTCACTCCGATTTGTCTCTATTTAAAAAAAACGCTCTGGATTTTTTGGAACTGGTTAGCTCATTTCCGTGCATTTTTCCTGGTGTGCTCGGTCGCTGCCCCACGGAAAGGGGTCCGTTCAGGAGGAAAAGGCACAGTGGACAGCAGAGAGGAGCGCGTCTTCTCAAGCTTTACATTGGCGCACATACAGAGAGGCGGACCTATTCCGCACGGCTCCTTCACGTGCACGGGCATGCACGCTCACATGCACGTGCACACACACAAATGCCAGCCACGCAGCTATTTTCCTTCTGCGAGCATATAGCTTTTGTTTACTATTAAACACCAGAGTTTCGTTCTGAGTACAAAGCAGAAACACGTTCACCTTCCACCCATCCATTCTTGGCAAGTTTATTTTTCACATGAACAAGACGGACAACCACTAAGGAAACCATCGCAGAAACATTCCCATCTAAAAGATGAGAGAAATTGGCCTCAGCGGATCTTCCGTCGGTCACCGGAGTTGCGAGTGGAGGGTCGGGGCGGAGTGCACCGGGAAGAGAGGACAGGGAGAGGCCAGGGAGGAGGAGCTCTCAGCCGGACTGCCCGCTGCGAAACAGTCGCTGCTGCCGGTGCTCCAGAAGCAGGCTACCGGGGGGAGGCGGGGGGAGGATGAACAGTGCCTCAGTGTAAAATTATAACACTCAGCTGGCTTTGGGAGTGTTTGTTTTGCTGTCGTTTTACTTCTCTCTAATTAGTTTGAAGTTGCGAGATAACGAACAGTGGCCTACTTAATAACTGTCACCCTTTCCTTTATCATCGTGGCACTTTTGGGTCAGCTTAAAGGTAAATTAAGGCCTCCAGTTCCGAATTTACCTGTGCAGTACCTTTTTTAAGGATATCCTCCCACCTACAGGCCACTTACAACAGTTTAACGTTGTGTATGATTACTTTTTTGTAGTAGTGTTTGTAGTCAGGTTTAGTTAAGCAAAAATATTAATAATATTCCTATAATCTTTGTATAGGGACTTCTGGTGTGTCTGTGGACCTCAGTAGTGAGTTTATGGTCACCATATTGCACTTGATGGTATTTTTTATCCCTCTAATATTACTAGGCTATTATATTTATTTAACATATTATATATAAATATATCGTTTATAGTTTTATGTGAGATTTGTAGAGTACTGTACTTACATTTATTATAAGCCAATAAAGTTCTTTATCTATTATTCTTTAAGATTTACTGTAATATACCCAAATACCTTGGAGAGCCCCGTTTCTAGGTGCCTTGGTAGGGAAGGCTAGCTGTTTATTATTTATTCATATACCTATGTATCTATAAAATATTTAGAGCTCATGGATCGAAGACCAACATTCATCAATTTGCAATATGGAAGTGTGCTGCTGGGCTTTTGTAGTAAGATAGTAGAGTCAATTTAACTGGCTTTTGTTAAGTTATTGTCCTAATTTTTGTGGGTGTAATTTACTGCTGGCTATTTTAGCAATATTTCCTTGTCGGAACTTCAACCTGGCCTTAAAAACCCTCCAGAGGATGGTCACCTGCTCATCAGAAACTCAGACAAACACATGTTTGTCTCGACACTCGTTGGCAGGTGCCGTTTGCAGATACACTAACACGCTCAGTTATTTATAGACGTTAATATCACTGTGTGATTTTGGAGTATCGATTCAGAACAAGCGTCGACTCTCGGTGGAATGTAACACAAACTACGGCGCTGCTGCAGTTTCAAACGTACACCGACACTCAGTGGAATACAGGCTGAAGTCAGTGAAGGCATCTCATCAGCTCACTGTGAGGTCATATAAACTGGAAACCCAGAGACATTTTCTTGGAAAGTCCGGACACAAAGCACAACAAGCCCCACCTGATCTAGGTAGGACATATTTGTGTTTGTATTTGACCTTTGTTCCCCTTAAATCCATATATGTGACTGCAACTCATATCATCCAATGTAGTCTCTGACAGGAGAATTCATGGATATCTCAGTTTTAAACTGCAGTTTTCTACTTACAGAAATGAAAATTACTATGACATGGGTTTAACTGTCATTGTGCCTTTCTTTCCAGCAGTCATGATTTACGTATCCCTAACCCTAACCCTATCAATTTCACTGACGTGTAAAATAAGAAGTACTTTATTGATCCCAATTTGGGACATTTTTTATTCTAGGATTACATTGTTTGAATTACTTTTAAATACATACAAAAGTGTCCATGTACTTGAATAGCTGTAAATATACTTCTAATCTTCACGTCATTTGCACCCATCCGTCGAATGGTGACATCACTTCTCTCTCTGTGTTTCTGTTGGTTTTTCATCAAGCTCAAGAGCAAAAATAGTCCACTGCGTACCATCTGCTGTTTCCTCACATGCAATGTGATATTCAAGCAAAAGGCTCTTCATAAAACATTATTCATTATCTTGCTGATTCGATGATGGACTGTTCAGTTCATTTTTGTTACCAAAGCTAAAAGCAACATTAAAGATTTAAACTCTTCATAAATCCGACACCTTTTATGTGCCACTTTGAGCATTGCTCACAGCGCTGTTTGATTTCAGGGTTTAGGTGTCTGGTGCCTCCAGAAGTGTTTGTGTTGCACCGTGGGGAGAAATACATGTACAGTAAATAATAGGGATGTAACGATGAAAAAACTCACGGTACGATAATATCGCGATAATAAGTCCACGGTACGGTATTTATCGCGATATTGAATAATAAAGGGGAAAAAAATTCAATTTTTTTTTCAATAAAAACATTTTTTACTCGGAAAATGTTTCTTTATTACATAATACATCTGATTTGTACAGCATTTTAGTAGGATAGCAGTATTTTAAAGTGTCAAAAACAATGTTTTTGACACTTTAAAATACTGCTATCCTACTAAAATGCTGTACAAATCAGATGTATTATGTAATAAAGAAACATTTTCCGAGTAAAAAATGTTTTTNCACTTTTGAAACAGAGGGGATTATGGGATGCTGCAATGATCTGTTTGGTGTTTGGAGCCAAACACTTCAGAGACATGTATTGTATATATCTGAGACCTTTAATATATTGATGAAAAACAGTATAATAGGGGACCTTTAACATCACTGTCAGGATTCTGATGCTTTTTACTGCTCTGTGCACTGAGTGTGTGACAGCTGTTTTTCCACACCAAGCAGCTCAGCTCTCACCTCAAAGCAGTACTCTTGTCCTAGGATGCTCGAGTGGACAGGTTTGATAACGGCGTCCTCATCCAGGGTGAGGTCCAGAGCCTCGGCAGCGCTGCTCGGGGACAGCAAGGACTCATGGGAGTGGGACTCTTTGAAGCTCTGCATCAAACGGGTCCTGGGGGAATGATAGTTGTGGTTAGACGTGAGGAGTGGGGGAGCCTTTTTGTAAAAGGTTGCATTATATTTCAGTTCAGTTTACAAGAAACAAAATGTAAATCTTAACTATACTCTCTATAATTCTGAACACTTGTACCTTGATAACACAAAAGCGTCTGTGTGCAATGGTGGATATGATGTATGATATGTAAATAACACAAAATATATTCATTATATAACATGGTGAAATCGTCTACTATTCCTACAGCAGTCTGCAAGTGGAAATACAGGAATAAGCTCCTAGTGCAAAAACAGCAATCAGAAAGCAAGTGATTACTCAAAGCTTGTATTACTAAGAGGCAAATGAGACACTTCCGAAAAGGAATGAAGACGTTGAAACTATCCATTGTAAATAATTTAACAGGCAGCTTTAAAGTGAACAGACTTATCAAACCTCTAATAGCAAGAGTTCATTAGAATAACTTTGAAGAAAATCCGGTAAAAATAAATGACACTTAAGTGACTGAAATGCTCATTATAACCTTGTTTGAAATGTAAATAATCACTCCTTTCACTACACACAATCAAAAGGATGTTCCCCATAATGTGTCACAGTTTTGTCTATTTTCGGCAGTTTGATAAACCAATAGAATAAAGATGTGAAAGGAGAGATCTTCATTTTAGTTTGTTTTTACATAACTGTCTTACCAGATATATCCAGCCTTTCCCCTCCAGGCTAAACATTTGTAACTCTCCACACAATGTTTCAAGATGCTATTTAATACTAACAATAATCCTGAAACCCTTAAGTAAACAAGGTTTTTGCTAAAGCCGCTCCATCATGCTCACCTACTGTACACACTTTCTCCCACACTCATTCAGGCACAAAGAGATGTCAAATGACAGACTAGCTCAGCAGACGGTCACTAAAAGGGACGCATGATGACACAGGGAGTCCAACCAGAGCACGTGTGAACGAAGCCCCTCAGAGAAGAAAATAGTGGATGGAAATAAAGAAAGAAAGAAAAGATACAGTATGTCCTCCGTGCTGCGTCCGGCTCTCAGCTTCTTCCCTGCGCTCACACTGCTTTTGTCTACATTCAATCGTAACGTTCATCAACAGTGAACTGATTACTTGTATGGGACCAGGGGGGAGAGCAAGAGGGAGATAGATAAAAATAGACCCAAAGGAATGAGTCAGATTGAGGGGGAATACAGAGGAGAAGAGAGAAAGAGTGGGGGAGGTCATGAGAGGATGAGAGAGAAGGAAAGACTGGGAGAGGTAAGGGTGAGGGGATAGAGAGAGAAGACCTATCAGAGGAAATCACTTTGACTATGTAAACAGTGGATCCTTTGGAGAGGAAGAAGGTGAGAGCGTGGATTAAAGGGAAGAAGGAGAAGGGAAGAGAGAGGGACTGAGATGAGAGAAAGGGCGCTGGAGGTAAAAGAAGGTCTCAGTGGGGAGCTGAAGTGCAGGAAGAGTCTAACATGAAAAGACACACACACACAACTCACCCAATTGTAATCCACTAGTCACGACTGATAAACTTCAAATCTAAGAAAGACCACCTAAGCACCTCTAATGATAGACTAGAAACAAGAGCGCGATTAGCAGATACAAAATATTTAAAATATTGTTTTGTGCTTCACTGCAGTGAAAAGACGACTGATACAAAGACACGTAACTCAACGACACCACTCTGTAGAGTCAATGAATGTATTAGTCCCTTGGCAGATAATAAATCGTATTTTTTGAATCAAGCAATACATGTTAGACATGATTCTGCTTCAAGTTTAAAAACAGAGGATGTTCTGCTTTCCCCTTTTTAAAATCATTTCAAATTGAATAGCTTTGATTTATGGGCTGTCAGTCCAACAAAGCAAGCAGATGGAGACGTCAAGTTGGGCTTTTTAGAACTTGTGAAGGACTTTCTTCACTTCAGTTGTTCCCAAATTCATAAACTAAACGATTAAAATAAATATAATGTAAACATAGTAATGAATAAAAAGCTTTAAAAAAAGTGTCCTTATATTATTGATATGATACAGATAATAAATCAGCAAAAATGACTCACTTAAAAAATCATTCATTAAGCAGAATGTGCAGGTTCTAACATCTCAAATGTTAAGTTGCTACATTTCGATTTGATATGATTTCAAATAATTGTTTTATTATGTTTAAAGGTTCATGTAAAAAGGTATGACTGGTGAATATTATTATCTTGTGAGTAATCTACTAAATACAATAGTAAATAGAACACTATACCTTGCAAGACAGGAAATACTTTCAGTCAGTAACGGGCTAGGATACAGAGAATATTTATGTATCTCCAGTATATAAAGGAGGGTAGCTCTGAGACCCATTGGGTGTTTCCATGAGCAATCAATTCAATTCATTTTATAGAGAATATGTGGAAAAACATATATATCATTATTTTACAGCCTGTGTGGGAGCTCGGAGGTGTGTTTATAGCTGCATGAATATCAATCCACGCTGAAAAAAGCAGAGTGTCTTCTGTGCAAACTCTCTCTGGATAAATAAAGATAAAAAAAACAGAATAATAATAATCAAAGCTGCCGATGTTCACCGTCATGCCTGACAAGGAACACCCAGAGGACAGCAGGAGATGTGAAAGAGGCAAACAACCCCGACTTCAACCTCACCTCTTGACTTTTCTGTCTGTTCAGTGTTTTCTCAGACTGGCCGAGGATAATAGACACCTACAACCTTCCCGAGTGAATAAATCATGGGGAGACGCACCCTGGCAGAAACCTTGCTCAGGGAAGGTTTCAGCGCTCTCGAGTGCTCGGCCGCGGTGTGTTTAGACCATCAACATGACGTTGTTCACATCGGACGTTTGTCCTGGCTGTGGCTGTTCCGTGGGAGCTTATAGATGAAAAATTAATTATCAAAATAAAGGTTAGAACTTCTTGTGGGTTAATTCGTTCGTCCGACAGACAGAAAATAAATTGCCAATTGTTTTTGACAAGTCATTTAAAATGTTTTTGTTTAAAGTTATCTCGCTCAAACTCCTCAATTTTGATGAGTGGCTGGTCTTTTTCTTATTAAGTTACATTGAGAGTGAATGTTTTTGGGTTTCAGCGCATTTATCGTGCGAGGAAAGAGATTTTTTTGTCACATTAGAGGAATACAGAAAATGGTGATTTTTCAGTATTGATTCATTGAGAACGTTATCATTATTGAAGGGATAGATAAAATACTATAGTTACCTCTATTTCTAACGATTTCTAGTTTTCTTGTTAACTCTGTTTCAATCGTGCAGCTGAATATAGACGAGAAAGGGGTAAAGAGAGAGGGCAACATCACAGATTCATTCTGTGGAAAGGGCTCAAGCCTTCAGTACATGGCATTTGTGCTAGTTGAGCTATTGAAGTGCACATAAGAGACCAATGCTATTGAATAACTGTTAACCAGGCTAGTTTAGGTAGAACAAAAAGCCTTCCTCATTTATTTCTCTTATAATTCCCTAAAACTCTAATGAAATAATTTCATAAAATACTGAAAAAAGACACAATGCTGCTGTCTTAAACAGCAATTAAGTTAATTCTAAGCTAAAAAATGAAAAACATTACTTGAAAAATGACAACTTCAATTGTTATACTGATATATCATTGATTTCCCTTTTGAGATTATCTTTTTTAGAACAAACTTCTGCCAAACTTGAGTCTCTGAGGATATTTTCCCTTAAAAATGATCCTTGAAACGCTGGTGCTGCTGTGCCTGACGAACGCTGGAGCTGCTGCAACTAGGAACAAGATACAGAGGAGGTATAATTAAGCAAATCTCCCACTGACTCATTATGGTCTGTACAGCCGCCATATGGCTGTCTGCTGGTTGCCATGGAGAAAGAGGCGATGTTTTTTCTTCACCCAGCAGAGAAACAACGATGGTGCCGAGTGTTTTAATTGTGTGTGACACTGAGAGTGATAAATAAACAACAATTTCCAGCAAATGATGGAAGGAGATAGAGATACATAGGCAGATAAAGAAACATATAGATGGACAAGATACATAGAAAGAGGTTTAGAGAGAGATAGATAGACAGACAGACAGACAGACAGACAGACAGACAGACAGACAGACAGACAGACAGACAGACAGATAGATAGATAGATAGATAGATAGATAGATAGATAGATAGATAGATAGATAGATAGATAGATAGATAGACAAGATACATAGAAAGAGGTTTAGAGATAGATAGATAGATAGACAGACAGACAGACAGATAGATAGATAGATAGATAGACAGATAGATGGACGGACAGATAGACAGACAGATAGATAGATAGATAGACAGACAGACAGACAGACAGACAGACAGATGGATAGATAGATAGATAGATAGATAGATATATAGATAAGATAGATAGACAAGATACATAGAAAGAGGTTTAGAGAGAGATAGATAGATAGACAGACAGACAGACAGACAGATAGATAGATAGATAGATAGATAGATAGATAGATGGACGGAAAGATAGATAGATAGACAGATAGATAGATACAGTAGATGGACGGACAGATAGATAGATGGACGGACAGATAGACAGATAGATAGATAGATAGATAGACAGACAGACAGACAGACAGACAGATGGATAGATAGATAGATAGATATATAGATATAGATAGATAGACAAGATACATAGAAAGAGGTTTAGAGAGAGATAGATAGATAGATAGATAGATGGACGGACAGATAGACAGATAGATAGATAGATAGATAGACAGACAGACAGACAGACAGACAGATGGATAGATAGATAGATAGATAGATAGATAGATAGATGGAGGGACAGACAGACAGACAGATAGATAGATAGATAGATAGATAGATAGATAGATAGATAGATAGATAGATAGATAGATAGATAGATGGACGGAAAGATAGATAGATAGACAGATAGATAGATAGATAGATACAGTAGATGGACGGACAGATAGATAGATGGACGGACAGATAGATAGATGGACGGACAGATAGACAGATAGATAGATAGATGAATAGATGGATAGACTCCGAACACTCCACATCAGTTGTCTTATAAAACTCACATTGTGTCCAATCTGAATTAGTTTACACTGTTTAATTTCCGCTGAGTGTGTTATGTTCCATCCACACTTCCTTTTTGATTCAAAACAAAGCTTTATATTGTAGAATTAGATGGAGAGTAAATTGTTTTTGTGATGCCAAAGCATTTACACAAACAGGCTGGGAGAACAAGACAACAATGAGCTTTCATACATAAATGCAACTGCACAGTGTTTGCAGATTAGCAGCCAATCACAGCCTGACACAGCAGATTAATCCACACATGAATGTCCAACATCACTCTCACTCACTGACCTGTCTTGGTCGGCACTGCGGAAGCGGGGGAGGATCATGTGGCGGAAACTGCTGGTTCGGTCCAGTTTGGGCTGACTCTTAGCCCTCTTGATCGAGCCCTTCAACCTTCTGCTGAGAAAGCTCTGGAGGTGGAGGGGAGAAACAACAAGGACAAGACAGATGGAGGAGGAAAGGGAGGACGTGCATTGTGCGAAGTGACAGAGGAGAAGAAGAAGAAGAAGAAGAAGTGGTCGGCGTGAGTTGGAGATGATAGGATGAGATGTGAGGAGACAGTGAGGGATGATTTGAAGAAGAAAGATTGATTGTAAAATATAAAATGGTTTCCATGGAGTCGGTGTGGTTTGTGTAGAACGTATTTAAGTGACAAAAAGACACAGACAAATGAAATACATGATGCATGACAGGGGAAAGCACAAGATACATTTATTATCAACAAAAATCATACACCCACACATGGCAATTTGTCACATTGAACTGCAGTGTGGTCACAGATCCTGCGGTGGGCAGTGCTGAGCCATACAGTCCAAAGATAAGCTCTATAGTACATGTCAGTGAATGATCAGAAACACAATCTGGAGACACTGATAAGCAGGAAATTGTTCATTGATGAGGTAATTAATTACTTGGGGTGTGTACCAATACTCACTCAGGGGTATTTCTGTGTCTACTTGTGTGACAAATATGTGGAACACAATATATTTTTTCTTTGTCTTCTAAATTAACAAAGGCTTGCGTTCAATACAACAAAAATAAGGTTTCAGCCGTTTTAAACTCAAGCAAGGAGAAGCAGCACAACTCTGAACTCTGACTAAACTTTATTTTGCGTATACTAGGGATGAGAGAGCCAGATCGCACATTTATGGTTTCTAACACAAGCAGACAGAATATGTCTTTTAAGCTGTTAGTGGATTAGTGGTCAGTTTGATTTGAGTTTTGTAGGGTGGCTCAGATTTGCTTGTCACAAACTGAAGATGGCTGTGTCAGCAGTTATTTGACCTCTGTTACTTTGTCAAAGAGTCTCTTGCTCTGGTCCTGATTATTCTTTCCGAACGTATAGAGTTCCTAAAAAGACTCCCCAGCCAGAAAGCGTTTTCTGTTACAATGACGACCAGCAACCTTGAGCTGTTATGTCACAACTGTGGCGTAACTGCATATTTAACACCTTTCAGAACAGTGTTTTTAATTCTCATAGCTTTTTTCTCCTGTTTTGATATTTTTGGATGTGCTTGAAGCTTGAACTGATGGCTGTGTAAATAACTTTAAACCCTAAACCATGCATGAAATTTGCCTTTTTTTGTACTGTAAAGCTGTGACACTTTATATATTCATTTATAAAGTGAATCCTGGAGACTCATAAGCAATATCATATACCTATAGCATAAAAGCATTGTCGAGCGGGGGAATGGCTGCAGGCAAATGACACCTCATCATCTGTCATCAGTCAGAAAGCTCTGATGCCTGTCTTGAGGATATGACTAAAGACTTGGCTCCATCTGCTGGTTCCAAGCTAATAGCCTGCATGACTAAATCTGATTAGATTAGCTGCTCCGTCTGACACTTTAAGTCTCAAAAAGTCAAAGAATTAAATACAGAGGGAGACAAAAAGAGAGAGCTTAGCCACTATGAAACATTAATGAAAAACAAAAAGTTTGAGCCAAAAGCCAAACTGGGCTTTGCGCTAATGGCGTATCTGTCTCCTGCAGTTTCTCATACTGCAACAGTGAACGGGCTGCAAATAGTTTCCTGTGTAGAGAGAAAAACAAGTCCGGCTATTTCCAGCTAAAGTGCAAACACCAGCAGAAATAATAGAAAGGAGATTGGTAACATGGAGCACTTGCACAAACTTAATAAGATACCAATCTATCCTTTAGTTTAAGCCCTTTGAGGTGCACGTGCGATACAATGGGATTTCATTTCTGTTTCTATGAATAAAACAATAAACAGATTATTTCCGTCCACAGACAGAATATGTTTTGCTGCCAGTTCCTCTCACTGAAGTTGCCTCCAGTACAAAAAAAGACACACAATGATCCCAGGAGTAGCAGTGACAGTACACTTGGAAACAAATATGACTCTTCTTTTGGTGACATTAAAGAATCATACCATGTGTTCTGCGTGTTTTAACCGATTTACTACGAGTCAATTCAGGACATTGAAGGTAATCATTGGTTATTATTTTGTTCCCATTGGATGACATCCTTTTAGCAGGCTTTTAATTAGGTGTGCATTTTATCAAAGTGATTATTAAGTCTGCTTTTCCTTTATATGCATTACCTAAAAATACCTTAAATAATCACAATATTTATTATTTATACTGTATAGAATATATATAGAACTTTTCAAAACAGTTGAAAAGTGCTTTACAATAAAATTATATGGAGATTCAGTTCCTATAGGATAATAACAAGTTGCTATAATAAGCGACATAAAACATGATGACCTTTTATTTTAATTGTACTCTTTCTATTCATTGGGCAAAAGCAGTGCAGATGTATTAAATAAAACCACACTTTAAACTTATCACACCATGATGAAGTAACTTTGACAGACATTAATGCCTATTACCCATCTCAATTAGACTATGTTTCAAAAGGTGGCTAATTGATTTTCGTATCCTCTGGAAATGAATGGAAACCAACGGCTACCACGAAAAGTAGATATACATTCAATTGAAAATATTCAGTTTACTTTTAAGGACCAAAAAAAACTAGCAAACGTATGTGGTATACTTTGTGGTATACTTTTCTAATCATTCTGTGAATATTGAATTTGAATTTGAGAGACGAGATGTTTCCATTCTGCAGGCATCATAAATGCTGTAGCCAGTGTCTCTGCTTCAGCCACAGTTGTGTCACATACCTCAACGGGGGGCAGTGGTGAAATAAACGTCCCTCCTGCCACTGGACTCGAACTGGCAGCCCTCCAGTCTCCGCCCCAGTACAAGAAGGGGGAGGTGGAGGAGAAGGTGGCAGGCGAGTGGGGCAGGGTGAGGGAGAGGGACGAGGACAGGGAGAGGGGCAGCGAGCGGGGCAAGGGGGGCGTGCCGGGCCCCTTTTTGGAGCCCTTTTTTTTCTGCTTCTGCCGATCAAGGGCATGTGAGGGGGAGAAAGCCAGGGAGAGGGGAAAAGGGTAAGGTGGGGTCCCGCTGGCCCTGCGACAACAGGAGGGTTGCGGGCCCAGGGCGGGAGACGGGAGGAAGGAGAGAGAGAGGGTCGGGGGCAGCGAGCGAGGCCGGGAACAGGGAGGGTTACTCACGGATTGTCGGAAGGGTTGAATTGGGGCACTGGGAGGGATCTCCATGCTGGGCTGCTTCCCAGTGGCTATGCTCTTCCGCCGGGCGCGATGATCTAACAGACAGGGAGAGAGAAAAGGTTGACAGGTAAGACTAAATATCAGGAGGAGGGAAACATCTGAAGGTAAAATGAGGGCAGAACAAGGAGTGACGGCTCCGAGACAAAGCTAAAGGATTCAAGGATTCAAGACTTTTATTGTCATTTGTGTATAGCTACAGTGTAGTTATGTCAATGGAAATCGGTCAACCAGTGCAAGTAAATAAAATAAAATAGAATATGGTAGCAATAGTGCAGAATAGTCTATATACAAGTAATTGGAATATTGATATATATAAGTTGCAAACAGATGAATGTTATGGATGTCCTGGTTTTTAACAGTCTTATGGCCTGTGGGATGAAACTGTCCATTAGTCTGGTTTTAGTCCTTTAGCGAGAGGATGTTGGGAGAGGAAAATTTGCCATTGTGGAAATAAACAGTCATGGTAGAGCTGTTACTGACAGTCTGCCTAAATAAAACCATCTTTGGTCGTCCACCAGCGCTGCTGCGAGGACTGTAATACACCGTCATCTGTGTGGAGGGGGAGAGGTGGACGAAGTGGGCGAGAGACTATTGAGAGATAGATTTTCTGTCTGGACATGAGATGAGCGAATGTTAACAGCCTGTATGTTGAGGCGAGGGAGAGGGGAGGGACCGGGAGATGAACAGATAGAGAGGAGCATGCATTAAACAAACAAAGCACTTATTGACTTCCGTCAGAGAGTCGGTGCCTAATGCACTGGATTGGTGAGTAAGGGAATACACTTGTGTCCTGCGCATGATGGATGATGGAGCGAGTTAGTTAGAGAACAAGGGGAAACAAAACGCAAGAGGCCTGGTTGAACTCAGATGAACTGCAGCCACAACAATGTGAGTGAATGTTGAAAGTGTACATATATGGCCTGATTTCCACTTCTGCTGTCCCTCACCCAAATGTTGGAAAACTCAATAAAATGTCAGGACTGTATGTCTATCTCAAACGTCCTTAAGGGAAAGTCTTATACATGCCTTGTATGAGGAGTGTGACATTTAGGACAGCCAGTGAACGAAAGAAAGACTAGAAATGGCCCTCATGACCCACAGAATGACATACCAAATCTCAGGATAGTTGGATAAATCAATAAATGGTTGGACCATAAAAGACTTGCTTCTAAAATATGAAATTGATCCACACTATAAAATAAATCATGAAAGGATCTACCATGTGTCCGACTGACCGTGTTTAGAGGAAGGGCTAAAACAGAGTCATTTCTTGCATGTGAAAGATTTTTGAAATGCTTTGCTGTTTTGGCAGTTTGCTATAACAATATCAAATTCAGTCTTTAGGCTCATCGTCTTGGAACCGTGGATGTACAAAAAAATCTCTTACAAATCTATGTGCTATATTTCACAAGTGGAACATTTGAACAGCTGGTGGAGTTAAATGAAAATAGGAGGACTGCTAAATCATCCTCGGGGGTCAAGATGTCTCCACAAAATGTAACGCACACCAGGCAAAATAGTAAAATAGTAACAGTTCTCTGATATTTCAGACAAACTGATTTTACATCCCTAGAGCCATGCCGCTAGAAAAAAAGAACGATTAGACAAGAATATGTAAAGTTATCGGAAGTCAACAGCTTTTCTACCGTTTCCACCAGATGAAGACGCAACAGTGCCTTGTCTTATAAAGCCTGGGTGAGCATTATTCATTACAGTCTTTTGTTATTGTTTCTAAACAGCTGGATGATATCAAAGCCATTTCTACATCCTGTTTTTTCCCCCTGTTTCATATTCATGTGTCCTTTTCCTTTCTTTGCATGTCCCTATCAAAGAAACATCTACAGCATTATAACCCTCACATAAAATACAAGTTGGTTACATTTGCTTGTTTGTTCTTAAGTCTTGTCTATTTCTTTCAGCATTGCAGCCTGTCCTCATGATGTGTGTCTCTGCTTTTTCCTTTGCCTTCTCCCATCTCAGCCTGTCACAGTCACACTAATACACACACACACACACACACACACACACACACACACACACACACACACACACACACACACACACACACACACACACACACACACACACACACACACACCACGCACCTCTTCTCTCCCACGCAGCTATTTTACATAATTCAAATAGTGCATTTATCCCTCTCGTCTCTTCAGCCCTCTCTCTTTCTCTCCTATCCTTTCTCCTCCTTGCACCCTCTCCTCTTTTCATACCGTCCTCTCGCTCTCTCCCCCTTCAGACATTTGTGGCATCTAGAACCCTCCATTTTCCACATTACCTGAATTCCTCTTTTATCCTTTTCGCCCCTATCGTTCCTACTCCTTCATTTAACTGTCCAAATGGGACATGTTTTTCACCGCACGACTGTCTGCAATCCTGACATTTTCTTTAACCCACGCGAGGAGGGAAAAAGATGACCAGGAAGGTGTTTGGAACCCAGCTATGCAATTGTCTTCTTGCAAAAATCCACAGTTTAACAGCTACCAAATCAAACTCTGCAGATGACTGACTGGTGGAGGAGTCTTCGAAATGAAATCTGAGAGAGCAGGGATCAAACATGAGGAGGTTACTGAGAAATCACAGTGGAGGGAGAAAAAGACTCACCATCTAGTTCCATTAAAAGGTTTCAAATGCACCTTTAACAGTTCATCGTAATTTCATGAATAGTAGGACATTTTAATCACCTGCGTTTTGTGATAGCTGTTGCATAATGGAAATGTCCTCCTTTGAAAATGTAAACCTACGCTTTCAGGAAGATTGACACAAAATGAAAGACAATGATACAGTTCCTGGTAGATTCTGTATAACTCCATGTTACTGATGGGCTAAATGGTTCCAGGAATTTATATTCTTCAAATATGTTCAGCACATTTGGAGAAAATATGCTGAATGTATCCTAGTGTGGCAGCCATCTCTCTCTCTCTCTCTCTCTCTCTCTCTCTCTCTCTCTCTCTCTCTCTCTCTCAGAGCACTACTCCCAGTTTCTTAGGTGTTTGTTACTCTGCATGAAGTGTTAATGCGGAGCAGTTATCATGGGTGCTGCCCTGTACGGCTGGAGGTTACGCCGGCTTTATGTATGCATCACAACTGCAGCCATCTCAATTAAAAGGCCTCACAGCAGTGATATCCAGATTAGCTCCAGAATATATTGTTTCCCAAACTAATTAGTTTCTCCTGGAGGAGCAGATTGTGCAAGACGGAGCATTCTGGTACGCTCAACTGGAATCTGTATGAGGGTAAACAAAAAATTAGAACACAACTGAGTTCTGAAAAACCAAAAGCAGTCTGTGAGTGTACCATCCAAAGCCTTCGGGTAATATCGCCCCACCCCTTTTAAAAAACCTCTTCTTTGGGTGCCAATTTGGAGTCATGAGATTCAGTCAGAGCATGTGTTGTATTACACCCTTCAATGGAGGGTTTCATTGGGGTCAGGATTTTGGTTGGAAATCAAACAAGTTTTTGTCTGCTTCATGTAGTTGCAGCTCTTGTTGTTTTCCCCTCAAGAATAGAAAGTGTGTACGACAAAAAGAAAATGGAGCCCAGCCTGCCTGGTACTTCAGGCAGTCCACTCAAACACCAATGATGACATGCCTTACCTCCTCATACAACCAACCAAACACATTCCCTGTAATCTGAAGCTCTATTTAAAATTGCAAGATTTGCCATCTCTTCCTCTGCTGCTGCTACTTTTCTGCTCCACTACAAACCCAGCTTCCATCTGTCGGCTCAGAGGAATAGTTATTTAATCATCACTCCTCAATGTTCTATGTAAAAAGAACTTGATGGGAGTGATGAGGCCGGAGCCTTGACGCCAAACTCGGATGAACTACTTTCTTTTTTTAGAGTTTGTTTTGTCTTGACTAACCACTATGACTGCCCCCTAAAAGCTGACGGATTCAAATTTGACCTGTACGTTTTATTTTGAACTAGTTTAATGAGGGGTGCTGCTCTTCAGGTGCGCTGAACTCTGGTGATATTTGGCCAGTATGCATCGTATACTTCAAAGAAAACCACATCAATAATGTCTATCTCCTAAGAGAAAAAAAGGCAAGAGCCACAAACATATTTTAAACCTGGCGACTCAGTAACGACTTAAAATGATATTCAGGCTGTCCATGCAATGATAACCAGGGGGATACATTCATTAAATAGCCTAATGGAAAACAACGTTATGGATGTGATTGTTAAATTATCGAGTGACCCGTTAACAAGAAAACACAACTCTATCATAATTACTAGTCACAAGTGTTTTACTAAGCATGTAAACACAGCCACTCGCAGCAGTTTGTGTTCACATTTTATTTTTATTCAGAGATTGCTGAGCAAGAATCCCCTGCGCCGTGTAAGCATTTACTTTCCTAATCTCCAAAGAGACTCCGAAGCAGTGTTGGGATTTAAATGCAGTTTGACCTCAAAGACATTATATTTCTAGACTTTCCCAGTGAGAACATTGTCTGCTTTCATTCAGATTCCTCTGTATCTCACATGGGGTGGAGATCTGAACGGGGCATAGTAATCCTTTCTCTTGCCACAGAGCTGCTCCCTCAAGCATGTAACCTTTATGCATTCAAATCAATACATGCAATACAAATGTGCACTTTTGACAGCTAGTCCCCTAAAACAGATGGCAGTGACTTCGTGCTTTTTCTTTTTACAATTCACTAACCACGTAATAAGCTGGTAAAATATATTATTCATTCATTTACAATACATTTACATTCATTTTCATTCACCTTTTATTTTTATTTGTTATATTGACATATTTTATCCAATATGCTCCTTTAGATATCTTTTTACTTATTTTTCCTTATAGCTTTGTGAAGCACCTTGAGATGACGTTGTCTTTAAAGTGTGCTATATAAATCAAATGTATTTATTTATTTACTGCTGTATATAGGGGATAGGGAATGTGCACATTATCTTATATTGCTTTAAAATGGCCAAAAGTCAATTTGTGGACTAAAGTTAGTACAGTAGTGACCCTAAAAAAGGAATATCATTTGAAAGTTCACTCACAAACAAATGTAGTGAGATATGATCCCTCGTAAAGGATTGATCTGCTGATGAAGACCGTTGGATATGGTTGAAAGCCCCTGACAAAACAAGTACCGGTAAGTGGATCGTCAATTAACATTGTTTTGTCCAAATATAAAAATGTGTTTTGCTTTTTGTCAAGCAGCAAGCAGAGAAGTGGTGAACGGATACATAAGAAGTCTGTCTTTAGGAGTGGGTGTAACAACATTTGATTGAATCAAAACATAACTCTCATCTAATAACTTCTGCTCCTAAACTGATATTCTATCCTACGCTGAAATCTCCTTAGATAACTCTAAGAAAATGGCTTAAATTATGACTAATCATTTAAGGTTTGGCTGCAGATTATATCCAACAAAAATAATAAAGTTACTTCCTGTTTTGCTCTCATAGGATAGTGGGAAATAGATGAGACAGTTAATTGCTAAAAGCCTGTTTAGATTTTTACCCAGAATAAAGCTTTTACACAGGTTTGGATACCTGACATTTTTTATCATGCA